CTGGGTGTTCCTAGTGTTTCTTGCAATGTCGGATGAAGCTTAGGAGATTGTTCCTTAAGTTTGAGAGAATGCAAGTTTAGTTGAGGGAAATCTTAGCAGTGATCCCATAGACGACGCCAATTTTTGCTACCCAAAATGGTCTAGGGGCAACACTATCAATTTGCTTCTGAGCCGAGACATGGCTAAGTAGTTCGAGGCCTAGATTGGCCGAGGGCTGGTAGGCCTGTCACCCAAGGAGGAGACTCCGACAGTCACGTTAGTTCAAGGTAGTACGAGGTGGGTGAGGCCTGAGGTGGGAGCACTCAGACGAGGCCACAAGTATTCAGAGCGTTCTTAGTTCCAAATTCTGTATTTAAGATTCAAGCCCCTTACGTTGAGGGGGTTGCCCCTTATTTATACTTGAGGCTGTCTGGAGGTAGGTGAGGTTGGACGGTCGGATGCAGCCCGTACACAAGAGGTGTGGTCATTGGCTTTGGGTTCCCTGTCGAACTCTACTCTGGTGTGGTCATTGAAAAGCTCTGCCACTTCCTCGTCGCTCCCTAGGGCGTTGAGCAGAATGCCTTTCGACCTCAGCTCCTTCACGTCCTCCGCACTATCAATGAGGGAGTCCATGAACCAGGCGTAGGACGTGACCGCACGGTCGGGAGGACCGCCTTGCCCCATCTCGTAGGCCATAATATTGAGCAGCCTGGATTTGGTTGAGTCATCGACCATGATCACAGGAAGATAGAGCTCCCCACGAAACAATTTGCTATTGAATCTGAGGTTCTTCAGTTGGTTTGTATCACTGCTCTTTCTGAACTTGATTCCTGCTTCTTTCAGTTCCTTCATGGAACGAAACGAATACCACTGACCACCGATTGATTGTTGTTCATGGTCATCAGAATGATTGCTGCTGCTTTCCTCGCCGATGATCTTCCTTCGGAGGAGGTCAAGAAGGTGCTTTGGTTCAGCTTGATCGCTTGAGTGGGATGATGGTAATGACGATGACGTTGGGGTTTCTGGTTGAAGCCTAAAATGTCTAATGAGTTTGTCAACAAATGCATTCATCAGAACACATGGCTCGATACGAGTCCTAGACGACTGGGGCTGCTGCTGCTGAGGCTGGGGACCAGCTGGTACAAATCTGGTCGCTTGAAATGGCAACCGTGCTCTTGTCAC